CATCTGCCAGAGTTAACAGCTCTCAAGAGAAAAATCACCAGCTCTCAGCCTTCTGAGTTTTAGAGAAAACACCAGCTAAACCAAAAAGGTACCTATGGCACAAAAAAACATGCCTGACAGAAGAATTCAGAGAAGTTGTTCCTGACAGAACATTTGACAGAGAAGGCACAGAACATTCCTGAAGACACTTAATGTGGCTGTAATTGAGAGGCTAGATCTTTTTATTAATATAAGTGGGACTTTTATTTATCAGAACAGCATACCATTAGAATCTTGTTTTATTTGGGAATAGCAGTTAGAAGGGGTTCATTTGGTTTATTAATAATTTAGTTACTTTGCTCCCCATTAGAGTTAGATAAATAAATTGTTACTTGTTGATTGTAGAGGGAGTGTCGGGGTTTATTTTATTTAATCACTAGAAGTTGCGGAAAAGGCAGGTTATACCACTTTTCACACTTTTTCTCTTAACAGATTGCAGAACAAGGCACTCCTCTCTGGATGTTTCGGTTTTTAGTTATCAGAGGAAGGTCAATCTCTGCTCCATAATACTACCATGCAGAACCTTGTCAGAGGCCTTCCTGAGGTCCACGTAGACAATGTCTACCACTGTCTTTAACTATCTTCTTGGTTACACCCTCAAAAAAAAACTCAATTTCCCGCACACAAAGCCATGCTGACCATCCTTAATCAGCCCTTGACTTTCCAAACACATGTAGATCCTATCTCTCAGAATCCATTCCAACAACTTACCCACCACTGATATTGGGCTCACCAATCTTTCGTTCCCTGGCTTTTCCTTGCAGCCTTTCTTCTACAACAGCAGATTAGCCATCTTCCAGTCTTCTGGTACCTCACCTATAGCTGTCAATGATACAAATCTCTCTAGTAGGGGTTCCACAATTTCTTCCTCATTACTCTTTTGCCCTTGAAGTGTTTGTAGAATCTGTTGGATTCTTCACGTCCCCTTTTTGACACCCGATTCCCCTCTTAAATGTACTCCTACACCCCCAGTACTCCAAGAGATTCACGTGATCCCAGCTGTCTATACCGGAGATGTCTTCTTTTTCTTGACGAGAACCTCAATATCCCTGGTCATCCAGTGCTACCTACTCCTGCCACTCTCTTCACACCAACGGGGAAAATGCTGTCCCTGAACTCTCTATCTTGCTTTTGAAAGGCTCCCACTTGGTAAATGTCCGTTGACTTGTGAACAGCCTGCCCCAATCAACTTTTCAAAGTTCATGTCTATTACCACCAAAATCAGTCTTGCCCCAATTTAGAACTTTAACTTGTGGACCAGGTCTATCTTTTTCCATAATTATTTTTAAAACTAATATAATTATGGTCACTGGTCCTAAAAGTGGTCCTCCCCACCACTTCAGTCTCTTGCCCTGTCTTATATTAGAAGTCTTTGAGGAAGTAAAGCAAATGAAAGAGGGATCTTATAGGTGTGGTGTAATTGGATTTCCAGAGGGACTTGACAAGGTGTCACATCAAATGTTACACACACCAAAAAAACATCATGTGCCTTTAATTTAAGGGGGTGGAGAGAGTTGGAGGAGGGACAATAGAACAGTTACAGAATTGGTTACCTATGAATGGGTTATTTTTGCACTGACAAGATGCTGTGTTGTACAGGGATCAACAGTGGGGCCTCTATTTAACAATGATATCAATAATGTGAATGAAAGGGCTTGATGTTAATTTTGATGATGCAACCATATAAAAAAGGAGACAGGAGATTAATACATGAAAAGGACACAACAAGTCTGCAACAGGAGATAGACTCGTTATGGGTACAGGCAAAGAAAGTGCCAGAATGAATATAAATGTAAGAAAATGTGAACATGTTCACTTTGACAGAGAGAGAGAGTAGAAAAGCAGCATAATATATAAATTGGATATTACAGAACACTACAGTACAGAAGGGATATCTGGATCTTGATACTACGATTATAATAGGTTTTTGTAAATTTAATCATGGGAAATGAAACACCAATTCTTACCGATCCATAGTGGGCAAGCAGTTATTGAAATTATGCCCTCAGGTGCTGGATTCTCCCACAAGGAGAAGCAAGCTTTCCATGCCAATCATGTCATGCCCCTCCAAGACTCTTATGATTAAATAAGGCCATTCTCATTCTTCTAAATTCCAACAAATACAGGCCCAACTTATTCAACCTATCCTAAGGGGTCCTTGTGAACCTTGTCTGGATTACATCCAATACCAGTACATCTTTCCTTAGAGTGATACCAAATAGCACAAGTAGCATGCCACATAACACAAGTAGCGAGTGATATACAGTGCTAAATGAATCCATAACCAATGGACTAGATCTAAGCTCTGCACTCCTGCCACATCCAGTCACGAATGGTGGTAGAGGAGGCTACTTTCGCAAGTATCAGCATCCTCATAACAGTGAGAAAGACAAGTCCGAAATATTCAGCCAGAAATGCTGAGTGGATGATGTATCTCGATCTCCTCCAGTGGTTTCCAACATTAAAGATACCAGTCTTCAGCCAATTCAATTCACTTCCAGATATCAAAAAAATAGCTGGAGGCACTGGATACTGCAAAGGGTACAGGCCCTGACAACAATCCAGCAATAACTTGCCGCTCCCTTAGCCAAGCTCTTCAAAACAGTTATAGTACTAGCATCTAGCTGAAAATATGGAAAAGTGCCCAGTTATGTCCTGTACACAAACAGCAAGACAAATCCAACCTGGCTAATTACTGCTGTCGGTCTACTTTCAATCAATAAAGTGACGGAAGGTGTTGTCATCAACAATGCTATCAAGTAGCACCTGCTCAGCAATAACCTGCTGACACCTCTCTGGGTTCCACCAGGGCCACTCAGCTCCTGACCTCATGACAGTCTCGGTTCCAACATGGACAAAAGCACAGAATTCCAGAGGTTAAGTAAGAATGACAGCCTTTACATCAAGGACACATGCAACTGAGTGTAGCATCGAGAACCCTAGCAAAACTGGAATAAATGCATATCGGGGGCAAACTCTCTGCTGGTTGAATCATGCCTACCACAAGGAAGATGGTTGGGGTTACTGAAGGTCAGTTATCTCCATAGGTGCTCCTTCAGGTAGTGACCTAGACCCAACCATCTTCAGCACCTTTATCAATGGCCTGCCCTCCATCATAAGGTCAGAAGTTGCACTATGTTCAGTACCAAATTCTTAGTTACTGAAGCAGTCCTTATTCAAATGCAACAAGATCTGAATAAATTTCTAGACTTTAGCTGACAAATGGCAAGTAACATTCATGTTACACAAATGCCAGGCAATGACCATCACCAATGAGACACAATCTAATCACCACTCATGACATTCAATGGTGTTAACATTGTGGCGATAACATTGACCAGAAATTCAACTGGACCTGCCATATAAACACAGTGGCTACAAGAGCACGTCAGAGGCTAGGGATACCACAGCAAGTAACTCACTTCCTGTCTCTCCAGAGCTTGTCCTCCATCTACAGGAAGCAAGACAGGAGTGTGCTGGAATACTCCCCACTTGCTTAGATGGGTGCACCTCCAACACACTTAAGCAGCTTGACATCATTCAGGACAAGGAAGCCCACTTGATTGCAGACCACAACCACAAGCTCCACCGCTGAAACTCAGTAGTTGCAGTGTGTACTATCTACAAGATGCACTGCAGAAATTCAAAGACCCTCAGAGAGCACCCTCCAAACCCACAGCCACTTCCACCTAGAAGGGAAAGAGCAGCAGATACATGGGAACACCACCACTTACAAGTTCCCCACCAAGCCATGCACCATCCTGATTTGGAAATATATCACCATTCCTTCACGGTCACTGGCTCAAAAATCCTTGAATTCCCTCCCTTAAGGGTGTTGTGGGCTAACCGAATGTAACCAGACAGCAGTGGTTCAAGAAAGCAGCTCGCCACCACCTTCTCAAGGGCAGCTAGGGACAGGCAATAAAATGCTAACCAGCCCCCAACACCCACTTTCCATGAATCAATTGAAAAAAAATGGATCAGAACTGTTCAGTATTCCAGCTATATAACTTCTTAAAGACCTCACTATTTTTACATTCCATTTCCTGTGAAATAAAGACAACATTTTAGTTACCTACCTCATAACCTGAAATTGGAGCAAGCATTGTGATTCATGCACAAGTACTCCAAAATCCCTGTGCTACAGCTTTCTGCAGTCTTTCTCCATTTGAGTAGGATTCAGCCCCTCTATTCGTCCTGCTAAATCGTGTAATCTCACATTTTCCAACATTATATTCCATCAGTCAAGTTTTTTGCCCACTTGCTTAATCTAAATCCCTCTGCACACAGCATCACAATTAACACTTGCCACCTATTCTTCAGTCATCCAGACTTGGCTAGAGTACTTTGACAATTCCTCATTCAAGTCATTAATGTATATTGCCCTGGAAGAATGAGAGGTGATCTTACTGAAATATACAAGACCCTTCGGGGACTTGACAGAATGGATGCTTGCAAGTCAAGATTAACACTAGGGTACAATTTAAAAACAAGGGGTCACCCAATTAGGAGGTGAATGAAAATAATTTCTCTCTCAGATGTTCATTAGCCTGCGACATTTCCAACAAAAAGCAGCAGTATCACATAACATAACACCACCAGCAAGGTAAATGGGATATACTATAATATCTTACAGAAGTCTAATATCCTTATAAGAAATACAACTTGAACTTAGTTCTGAAGGCATTTCTAGATAATCAAGCCAATTATAATCGCACCGTGTGTAACTTTTCGTGTGTTTGCTGTCAACTAAGCAGTCATTCTGGACAAATGTTTCATTCGTACAAATATTAGTGAGTGAATTGGAGGCTAATTTGGAAAAAATACAAGTTAAAATTATGGAGGTATTGCTTTAAACAGTATTCAAAAGTTGTTACTTGTCCAAGATGCATTAAAATACAAATAAGTTATACTTAACGAAATCTAAACGAAGATAACTGCATCATTATATTGTACCCTACCAAGAAGGGAGCTCTCCTTAGCAAATGCTGCAGCAATGGCAGGATCCATAGATGACTGGCCATCTCCTGAAGGAAGATCTGGACGGGTATAGTCACGACTTTTATCATTGTTGTATTTTACATTCAAGTTCACCAATTTTGAAAAATCAATCCTGAGGGTGCAGCAAGCATTATAAATATTCTGACCATCCAGAGCCTGTAAAGATCAAAAAAGGTTATTTCAGAAGATGAAAAATCAGAAGTATGCAAGTGTTTTATCACAAAAGGTCAGATGGCTGCAAAAACCTTTGCAACCTTAATTATAATTATAAATCAGAAATGAAGAAGGGTCTAGGCCCGAAACGTCAGCCTTCCTGCTCCTATGATGCTGCTTGGCCTGCTGTGTTCATCCAGCTCTGCACCTTGTTGTCTCAGATTCCCCAGCATCTGCAGTTCCTACTATGTCTGATACAAGAAAATGGTGTTTTGCTTTGACACACCACAGATAATTGCCAGTGTGGAACATTTTAACTCGGCCTGTCAGTGTGATCAATATGCTGGTAAGGGGCAACCACCTCATTAATATGCAAATCAACTGCACATTTTCCCCTTCTCTTCCTAAGCTTTATTAAATACCGTACTACTAAAATTACGAATATTAGACTGGAGAATGAGAAAGAACAAGCAAGTCATTGATTGGGTGGGAGAGGTAAGCAGGGCCTGATAACAGCATGTTAAAACAAACTAAACAGAAACTGAACATGGACATAGGCTTATGATAGGTGCATGATAGTAACAGTCAAGTCCCCAACTGGCCATGGAAATTCATTCACATGGATGTCTGAAGAAAAATCACTGCGATAAGTAGAATGAGAGGAAGTGGCAAGGCACTGCTGCTCCACTCTCAAACTGTTTCTGTCCTGGGTGTGTGGTTTGACGTTATTGGGATATGGGTCCTTCGTTGGAATGGGCCTCTCTCGTGAGAGAGCGTGTGTATCTGCAACAAGTGGAGAGGGGGTAGAAGGTGCTGCAAGAGTCATATAGGACTGGAAAATTGCAAGAGTGATAGTGGTGGTGGCGGCAAGGCTGAAACAGTGCTGTTGACTGAAAACTTGCTAAATCAACAATACTCCATTAAATGGGATCTCAGACTTCAAACTGCTGAGGCAAGTAATTCCTCAAAGAAAATGTGTATCTTTAGCTTAGGGCTGCATAAATTCAGGTGAAATAGTTGAAAAACACGTAGCAGGCTTTATTATAATGAACATTGTCAACAGTTAAATTTAAAATGAGAGACTAACAGGAGAAATGCAGTAAATAACTGAACATAACTGCCTTACTAAAAAAAGTTCTAGCTTTGTGCATGTGCAAATGAATCAAATCGGATGCATCCTAGCCATTCTATAGGTGATTATAGTGATGGTTTTTCCGATGTAGAATATGTCAGTTACTGAAAAGAGACTTATTAACTTTCATCCATGATGTTGTACCAACTTAACTGGTGTCCAGGAGACTAAAACTTTCCTTTGTGCTTTGGCTTTAAATTCAATAGAGAGTTGACAATTTAGGATACTAACCAAATAACGTAATCACTCTCAAGTGAAAATTCAAATGGAGAGATTCTGGTGAGGTGGTCCTGTCACCAGGCTAATAATCCAGTACAATAGGCTAAAACTCTGTACATGGGTTTGAATCTAACCATGGCAAATGGTGAAATTTAAATTCTATTTAAAAATCTGGAATTAAAATAAGCAAGTCTAATGGTAACCATGTAACCTCTGTTGATTGTCAAAACACACATCTGGTTCAGTGATATCTTTTGAGGAAGGAAAACTGCCATCTCGGTTTGGTCTGGCCTACATACGACTCCAAACCCACAGCAACATGGTTGACTTAACTGCTCTTTGGGCAATTAGAAATGGACGAAAAGGCTTAGCTCACATCCCGTAAGTGAATAATCACTGAAGTTATGAGAACTTTAGCCTTTACTTTGTAGTACCACTTAAAAACACTGAAGTAGTTGCCACTTGTTAACAAGGTGAACAGTGTAGTGGATAAGAGTGAAAGGGTATTTCAGAGGCCAAAATTAATGATTTGGCAAGATGAGGTCAAATCTGACTGACTGCTGAGAATTTAAATTCAAAAACTTAATTGGTAGATCTGGAGTGAAAAAAAAAATACACAGGAATCAGTAGCTGACCACAAAACTGCCAGATTGTAGTTTAAGCCCAACGGGTTCACCCATGCCTTATGGAAAACAAAATCTCTCACCGTAACTAAGTCTGGCCTACACATTATACTGGACTCTCAGCAACGTGGTTTTAACTTTTAACTGCGCGCTAAAAAGAGCCCAGGAGCTCTTCAAGGCAGCTCACCACGAACACCCTCTTGAAACCTTTTATTTGATCTTTGTCAAATACTCCTACTACAGCAAACTTTTCATTAAATCAGCACCAATGAGACCAACAGGATGTCAGGTGATCAAATATTGCGGATAATCAAGAGATACATACAACCGCTGTGAACCTTGACCTACTAAAACATCAAGACATTAACATCCTCAAAGAAAACTACGTAAAAACATCAACATCTCCCGAAACAAATGTAAAAACAAACTAATAGAAACACGTCACTGGTTATACTTTATTTACAGTATAAACACTCTGATATTGTGGTATTTGAGGTATATAATTGCCAGTTAACACAAAGTTTGCTGTATGACAGAAGTTCCAGTGTATGAAGATTTGACAGTCAGGTGATGGGCAACAAGAGGAAAGATTAGCATGTAGCCCACAGAGAGACAAATGCTGTGTGATACTTCCTGAAACCCAAAACTAACAAGTCAGGCTGACTGTTAAGGCCATCTACTAATATCAGCTCATCTGTTAATACCGTGTCGTGAGGTTCTTTGCTTGTAGACAAGTGATAGTAAACCACATTTAACCATCAGAATCTGTGCATATGAAGTGCAGAGCATCTGATGGGTTTGTTTTAAAGCCACACATGTATACAGTTTAGAGGTAAGTGCTCTATAAGCCTCTGTTTCTTTATTTGTTTCCTATTATTAACTCCTTTTGTCTTGTTCCACCATCATATTTGACATTGACTGTCTTGTGTTGTCCACCCGATTAGAGAACTTCCCTACTTCTTGCCCTGCCTTCCAAAAATAATAGGTTTTAAACAAATTCAAACTATTTACAGTTCTTAAAAAAAGGCCGCTGACCTGAAACATTAACTTGGTTTCTCTTATCACAGATACTGTCTGACCTGTTACACATTTCAACAATACTTCATAGGTCAGAAAAAAAAATTGAGCTTTGAACAATTTGAAATAATGCAGTGTTACACAGGCAAGATTTGGTAAATCAGCATTAAGTCTGCTGAAGAAATTAAAACATTGAAATACTCTCAGTATTAAATTTTCACTTCATTGGTAGTGATTTCACATTGCAGGTTCAACTCAAAATTAATTTAGGTTATGGCCAAATAACAATGAACAAAAATATTAAGAACTTTAAAAAGGTTCTTTTGTTTCACAGATGTTAAACAACATCATGATGGTTATCTTCAAAAATAAGCCAGATATGTAAACATACTGAATCTAGCTGTGCCAATGCTATCAGCCAGACAATGCATTAAAGCCATCACAATAAGCCCATAGCCAGTATTATCTCACTTCAGTGAAATACAATTGCCTATTTTCACAAGGATAAGCAGAAATACTGTTTCTGTATGATGAAGACTTTCAGCTGTGCCCCACTTACCAGTTTTGCTTGGTGTGCATTCATAGGATCAGAATATTGCAGCAGAGCTTGAAACTGATTATTCTTTGTGAAAGTAATGATTTTCAATACTGGCCCAAACTTGGAAAAAATCTATCACAAAATAAACAAGAATGCAATTATTGCCCGTCAAAAACGGAACTGAAACCTAGACAAAACAATTTGAAGCATTACGGTACCTGATAAAGTACATCCAGAGTTACTGGATAGTACATGTTGTCAATAATTACTCTGAGTACCGGGCTCTGAGCTGGTGTCACTGCACTCTCACTGACAGTAGTTCCAGTAAGCGGGGTGCTTGCTGTCTGCACAGCAGTTACCGCCTGAAGAACAGCTTGGGCACGCTGAAAGCAGTAACAGACAAATAGGTTTCTCCATTATACCAGTTTTAAAATATTATTTCTGATATAGAATCCTTAAACTGTCAATTGCTCTTCTTCTGCCAAAATTAGGGAAGAGAAACAAAACTAAAAGCCATCTGTTTGCCTGTCAGTTTTTAAAATACTTTTAATTAGAATTCAAATTTGCTATATATTCCTATTCAACAAATTCTAATTTGGGAGTTATTTACATTAATTTAATTTACTAGAAAATTCAATTTTAAGCACAACAAATTATTAACAAGGAGTTTCACAAAAGAGTTCATGATTTCGGATAGAAAAGGTATTTTCAAGTTGACAGACTGATAGCAGTGGAGTGATGCAAAGATCAGTGCTGGGGCCAAGCATTTTTTAAAACTTTACTCCAATCTTTTTAGATCAGTGGTCAAGAAAAATGTATCTAAGCTTGCAGTTGATGCAAAGCTAGATGGGGATGCAAGCTGTGAGGAAGACACAAACATGTTAGAAATATAAAGAGGTTAAGTGAATAGGCAATAAATTGTTAGATGGAATATAATGTGGGGAAGTGGCAGAAATATAAATCAAAAAAGACTTCATAAAAAGCATGAAACTCCTGAATATCGCCGGAGAAGGGTGGGGAGAGAGGAAGGGATGGGGGGGGGGGGGGGGGAACTAAGAGGCAGGGGAAAGGACGCAGCAAGGGAGAGGACTGAATCTTACCATACTTTGGAGAAGTGTCACTCGTGTGTCATGGAGGGTTTCTCTCATTCAGGCCTAGGTGAGTTTTCATGCAGTTGTCTCAAAACATGCATCATTAACTATAAACCATGCCCCTATTAACTGATGTTAGCCCAATTCTCCCAATTTCCAGAGCAACTATGGGTATGCCAGCATCCTGGCATGTGTCATATTGAAAACACCATTACACACCGGATCAACTGGGGTAGTCTGGAACTGCCCTGAACATTTGCAGATATTTGTCCCAAGCCTGGTTGATAAGGGGAAGCTGAACCCCACTTTGCTGATAATGACCTGGTGGACAGGATGGTATGGAGGAGGGCCATCCTCTTCCCAGAGGGCCACCAGACTCAGCTAGCCTGGTCAGAGGACACCAACTGGGTCACTGCAGTCTCCACAGTCTAAAATAACACCCAGCAGTGCAGGGAACCGAATTACCATTTGCTCTCTGCTACCTCAGTCATGTACTCTTTTACTGTATAGACCTCCTACCAAAGCTATCACTCATGATCATATGCAACTTTTCTCATGTCCACCCAATTCCCCTATAGCACTAACCCAGCAGGCCTCTGTGCTGCTACTCACTTCATAGAGCTGCCTCATCAACATTCGCCCAGCTGCACCAGCACAGGCAGCTGTGACAGACACTTTCATCTACTCAGTTCCTCCCCGCTCTCGCATTTCATGGGAGTGTAGCCCATAACAGCCATTTTGTCACCTCAACCTGTACAAGGAGAGGATTTTGGTCCTGGCCAATAAACACCAGGACTACTCATGGGGTGCAAAAATCCCCATTCCCCCAGCAACCAAGAAAACAGCATTGCCATCACCCCTCACTTGTGAATTTCTATCCACTGGTCACAAAATTCTAATTTGACTTCTGCAGGGACCAGTGGAGTGCCCACAGTCTCCAAAATCAAGAGGTCCGCCACGCAAGACATATCATCTTCCATCTTGGGAAGACGGCAACGATGCCCCAATGGAAGCACGAGCAAGGCTGCCTCACCCCCTCATCACTATAAATGATATTTGTAAATATATGTTCTCTTTTCACCAAGTATTAATAATTGTCAAGCTACAAATGGAATAATGAAGTCACAGAGCCCACCCATCCTTATACTACACAATATTTCCTGGTCCAAAAGGTAGATGTGAGCAGCTCCTGCAGCATGTGCAGGCAATAGGTGATTGCTGTGGTGGCCGCAATGCTCATCTTCCCAGGAGGACAAACACTGCTACTGCATCAGTGGGATTAATTTGTTACCTTGCATTGTATGGTCAGGAGTGTCCAGGACAACGATTTTGACTGTACACAGTAGGCTAATGCCCAAGGGTCTCAAAGTACACCTTACTCACACAAATGTTTCAGCTCCAGTGGGGGTAGGTCTATGTCTATGAAATGCCACTGCCCTTTGTGGAGCCCCACGTCACTAGAACCTCTCCCACACAGAAAGAAACCCCGCACAATGGGAGTGAATGCGACAACTTTAATTTTCACTGCATGTAGGATGGAAGGCAACCTTGCGTGCTCATCTGATAACGAGTTTCTCATGATCTGCCTCTCCATGTTTGTGACACTCTAGCATAAACACCCCCTCCTGGTAGACCTCTCCATTACCTTCCCCAAGTCTCCACCTACCTTGTTTTCTGGCGTCTGCACTTTACCTCCTCTCCATGGTATATCAAGTGAACACACTAGGTCTGGCTGTGCACCATGGAAGCCAGGGTGCTGAGGGGAAGCCCTTTTCCTTTCCATGCTCTATTGTTTACTCCACCTTATAATAGAGTAGCTCACCTTCCAATTACTATCATCTTCTCTGCATCTCAGGATTTTCCTCCAATCACCACGATTAAGTTCTCCAGCCTTACTTCCACACACTAGCCCCCTCATATGCCCTTGAAACCATCATATCCCACTCAGACTGAACCTGGTCCACCCCTTTGACAATTCTAGTAGGAGACAGCATCAATGAGTGATCAGCGAACCGAGAGATATCTATACAACTCTGATAGTGTTCCTGTAACTTCCCGGACTGGCTGCAATGGATCCAAAGGCTGACTGCTTCCCACCATCATCTGGACTCTCAGACTCACTGACCATCATACCAAGTGGATATCTGACTGTGACCATGCTTCTGAACTGACACAAGAGGCTGCCTCTGACTTGACAGAAGACAGCTCTGTTATACTGGAGATGGAGCAGTTTGTTTACAGCACATGAAGCGCAAACATGAGATTGATACAGCATAGTGTTACATAACAAGATGATGATTCCCTTGATTGAGAACTGTTGACCAGCCAGCGCTAAACAACAAGGCAATGCAGCAATAGTGTGAGCCTGTAAGCTTTGGTTGAAGAGGCAAAAAGCTCAAAGGCAAGGCAAGGATGCCATGAGAATCCAGGAAAGCGCAAAGTGATTAAACACCGAGAACAGGCATGCAGTCCTAGGATACACCCAAGGTTCAAGTGCTACCACTAGCAAGAGGCCCATCTTGACATCAAAAACTTAAGAGGAAAATGCAACTTGTTGTTCCTGACATCAAGACAAGTCTCAAGTTATCATGCAATTCTCCCAAATTTCTCACCACAGCCCACGTCATTTGGGGCTGGGGTGATTCTGCACATGCTGTTGAAGCATTGTCTTCTACACATCAGGACAGAAAGGAGTACAAAATTTCAAAGGGAACAGCTGAACTGTGAGGACGACGCAGAGAGGAGTCTGTGAGATTTGGACAAGTGAATGGGTAAATGTATGCTATAAATTTTAATGGGGAAAAACCTCAGATTATCTATTTCAGTAGCAAAAACCAGCAGGCAGATTATTTGAATGGCGACTGACTAGGAAAAGGGAAGGTTTAACGAGACCAGGGTGTCCTTGTACTCTCGTCACTGAAATAAAGCATGCAGGTGCAGAAATTGGGGATAACGCAGGCATGTTGGCCTTCATAGTGAAAGGATTCGAGTACAACAGTAAAGGTGTCTTGCTTCAATTGTACAAGGTCAAGATTCCACGTCTGCAGTTTCATACGCAATTTTGTTCTCCTTATTTATGTAAGGATGCTTGGGCTATGGAGGAAGTTTAACAAAAGGTTTACTAGACTGATTCCTGGAATGGCAGTACAAAGAAATGCTGAATCTGTTTGGTCTATATTCACTGGAGTTCAGAAGAATGAGAGGGATCTCACAGAAACCTATTAAATTCTAACTAAACAAGGTAAACTCAGGATGAAAATCCCCAATGACTGGGGGAGTCCAGAACAAGGGATCACAGTTTAAAGATATGGAGTAGGCCACTTTGAACTGAGATGAGGCGAGATTTCATAACCCAAAAAGAGTGGTGAGTCTGTGAAGCTGTCTGTGACAGAACAGTTGAGGCCAAGATATTGAGTGTTCTCAAAGAGGTTAGATACAGTTCTTGGGACTAAAGGGATCAAGGGTATGGGGAGAAAGCTGGAACACGGTATTTAATTGGATGATCAACCATGATCTTGTTGAATAGAGAAGCAGGCTTGAAGGGCCAAATGGACAACTCCTGCTACCATTTTCTATGTTTGTGTAATTTCTAAGAAAGAAAGACAGACATGTACAAACACTGCTCCTTTTTCAATTAAAGCATGGGGCCAACTGTCACTTTGTTATTCCCTATTGACCAAAGTAAACTTGCCTTTCTGAATTTATTCAAAAACAAGGGGGAACTAACGTTCCTGCTTATATTTGCCAAAGCCAAAGCATCAAAGTCCACTCGCCAACTAATCATTTTTCCCATGGAATACAAATTGCTGTTCCCTCTACTGCTTGTCCTGATGAATGGCAAGATGAAAAGCTTTGAAAGCATGTCTCTATTTTTCAGCAGGAGTCTATTTCTGTATTCAGAGCTACATTCCCTCTAAGTTTTCCTGCTGCTGCACTAACTCGATGCGGAGGTGCCAGTGTTGGACTGGGGTAGATTTGGCCAAAAATCACATGATGCCAGGTTTATAGTCCAACAGGTTTATTTGAAGACACAGGCTTTCGGAGTCCCACTCCTCCTTCAGGTGTCAGTAAGAGGTGGCGTCAGACAATTTATAAGCAAAAGATCAAACAGTCATAGAACTGATGCGAATGTGCTGAACAAACTTAAGATGGCTGTTAAATCTTTAATCAGTTAGAAAAGATTAATATGCAAATTCCAGAATTTCTTTCAATTCACTACCCTGAGATAATTAAAGGTTTTATCAGTTCCGTCAGTTTACCAAAGCTGACGTCCCAGGTCAGACAATGCATTTTAGGTGTGAGGCCTTGTTTAGAATTCAAAATGTGTATCAACTTGGAGTCAGACTGGTTTTATTTCCAAAATTAGGAATTTATAAAATGCCACATTGACTGTCTACCAATTATGTGCTTTTTGAACAAAACCAGCAGCTAAAAATTCCAGTCAGTGCATTAGCACACCCATTTCCAACGCTGACCTTGTGAGCAGCTGTGCAGCCACACAGCTTTGAGGAAACATTTTTACTGAGTGACCATTGGCAAACCCAAAACAATAGGGCTCAAAGAGCTGACTGCGCTTTTACGAGAGAGAAGTTAGCATACATCAGTACAGCAATACTAAGCAAGACAAATGGCATGGTGGCCTTTATTACAAGACGACTGGAGTAAAAAAAAAAGAAGAATAGGAACTCTTACTGTCATTTGGGACTTTAGTGAGACCTGGACTTTTGTACCGAGGTTTTGGTCTCCTTGTCGAAACTTACCATAGCGGCAACTCAACAAAGTTTCCCTAGATTGGTTTTAGGGCGAGAGGGTTATCGTATGATGAGGCAGCATTAATTCGGCCTACGCTGTCTGGAGCTTAGAAGAATGTGAAGTGATCTGTGATTTATACACTAATCTGGATTGAAATTTTGAAGAATGGCTCACTACAAATAGGAAAAAACATTAATTTCTTGTGCATCACTCTATGCAAATGCAATGCTCAAAACAAAGCAATTTACATTCAAATTTGGGAATAGAAGTATGAGGTAAAACAATCACAGCCAACCCAAGCCTCGATTCATAATTCTAAAATGAAGAAATACGAGGCAACACTCCCAAAATGAACCAAACAATAACCTGATTTAAAGCATCATCTGTCTTCAATTCTTTATGGTTTGAGTACTGGATGTAGATAGGCTGATTCCGAAGGTGAGGTGTTACTGCAGTGTAGTAATTCACCATAGTAATGGCTGCCTCTTCAGAAGCCATTTCCAAGAAAGCCTGGAAAAGTGTAAAGGAATCATGAAAATAGCAAGCACAACTTTTTTAAAAGCAGCATTTAAAACATTTAGACAATGTGATCAAACAAATTCATTAAGTAACACCTGATGCATAGCCAAGTATTATTGTTTTTCATTATAAACTGCCAAAGCAATAAATGGGAGAGATAATAGGAACTGCAGATGCTGGAGAATCCGAGGCATCCAGCTCTGCACCTTGTTGTCTGCAATAAATGGGAATTTCTTTAATGCTAGCTTTAAATTTCTTCACGTGATTAACTCAATGTTCCATAAAACTACAGGTAGTTCTCCTATACCTCGATAGTTGTGTTCTTGTGCTATAG